ACATCACGATTACATTTATCAATAATTTTTTTTGCTTGTGCGTACCTTAATTACATTCAATCTTCACAAACAATCCATGTCCTGTTCTTAATTTTTACCCCATTTTTAGTTTCTCATCAATATTCCAATTTAACCTTTGATATTTATAATTTTCAAGCCCTTAGGTAACCAAGATTTCCCTTATCTCAATTCACAATGAAATCTAATATCCAAAATACACATTTTATCTATCTGAATGTAATATTGTTCTGTTGCCTAAATAAGTTATCTATTTCCGGGCAACTTTTTCAATTTGGTTGATACTAAGGAGTATTCTTAATTGGAATTAAGCCACACTCAAAATCAGGACTNCTGCCAGCCGACTACGGCCTGCCACTAAATAGAGGAAGTGATCTTGGAGGTGGAGGGGGGGAAGGAGCACTTCTGTCAGATGAAATGGGACGAGCACCTGGGAGCAGGGCTAACCTCTCCGAGTTGCACTTTCATTAGCAAAACTGAACCAACTAAATAGCTGTTGCAAAGCAGTAACAGGACACTTTCGGTTTCAATGAGAAACTAACAACTGTCCAGAACGGCCCCAGCAGCTGCGGTGCAACTCAAAAAACTAAACAACCATTTGAAAAAGAGATGACGGGTTAGATCAGGTAGTGATCTAGTAGAGCCAGAGGGAAGAGACTTCCTGGTAAAGATGTGGCAATCAAAGGAAACTGCCCAAAGGTATTTGCAGTTTGGTATTAGCCCTTGGCCAAATACAGTAGGTGGCCAAAATTGTGGAAACCTTTTGGGAAAAGTGTACAGTAGAAATGCCACCTTTGGTTAAGTTTCCACCCATTTTTCTTCTAATTTCTTTATAACTGTAGCCTTGTTCACTTAATAAATACTATTTTGCATCGCTTTCTGGGCAACCAGTCAACTCTTTGCACCATGACTTTAATTTTATTAGGTTTTGCAAGCTCACTAAAGGAAAGAACACAAAAAACCCCCCAGGCAACTTGACAGCAATCGCATAACACACTGACCAATGTCCTCCTCTCAGCTTCAATACAGGACATCAATAACTGACTCCTACTGTCATCTGATTGGCTCATTGCCAAAACAAGATGACACCCGATTGGCTCTCTAAACACTCATGGTCATTGGCTACCATCAGATGAAGGAAACCTACCTGAGATCAACCTAAGCAAGTTGTGCTTCCTTTTTCTGGTTATTGGGCTACAACTTTTCACAGAACACAGTACAGATAATTGAACAAACTATGTTGCATTACATTCTTGATTAAATTATCTTTCCATTGATATATAATTTTAGGGTACTACTCCCCCCCCAAAAAAAGTGATGTTATTAGCCATCAGACCTCAAATGTATACTTTTCCCAAAAGGTTTCCACAATTTTGGCCACTACTGTATCATGCCTGATGCTGAATTCAGGGACACAAATTATCCTTTCCACAGAGGCTGGGAAGTGGCAGAAGGTAACCCCTAATTCTCAGTGCCGAAGAACACAACCACTGTGGTGGTGTTCGGAGTCCAGAATAGCCACAATTCTCTCTGCTCCTATGTAACTGGCTGGCCAAGGATGTTCTCGGCTAAACAAAAGCCAGCCAGCCAGCCAGCATAACCAGAGGGAACATTTCTGGTTTAACCAAGAGCCAAGGGCGGCATAACCCATCATGGGTAGGGCTGTCCAGGAGTGTTCTCTGCGCACAGTGTGTCTTTTATCACAAAGACAGAGCAGAGAGCAAGTCAAGGGCTCTATAACAGACAGATTCTTTTGTTGTTGTTGTTGAAGAGAAGAATCCAGTCAAAAAAAAAACCCCTTTCAACAGAACATCATTAGTTTAGAAACGGACAGTGGAATCAAACCCAGGAATCAAATGTTAAGACCAAAGAATCCACCAGTAATTTTAACAACGAGTCTATAAAAGGGTCTTAGAAGATAAAAGCAAGAGGAATGAGGAAAAAACCGTCGTGAAAGGATGATAAAATACCGTAAGTCTCTTGCGTGTGACTAAGGGACGAGCCCCCTCCCGCCTTGAGATCCCTTTTTTCTTCTATTGCAAAAGTTGCTTCAGGGTTTAACTGCAAAATCTTTTTTTAATCTGGAAGTTCTTTGGCTGCCTTGCTTGTTCTTCACTTTTGCAACAGAAGGATCTCCAGGGGGGCCCTTGCGACTTATTCAAACGCAAGTATTTTATCATCATTTTGCTACGGGTTTTCCTCGTAAAACGTGTAAAATTCAGAAAACAGAGGTCACCCTTACTAGACCAGAAAGGAAACATGACCAGAGGAGCTAATGCTACATTATTGTAAAGCTACACTAACAAATGAAAGTTGGACCATGAGAAAGGCTGAGCGACAAAGAATTGAGGCCTTTGGACTATGGTGCTGGAGAAGACTCCTGGGAGTCCCCTGGACTGCAAGGCGATCAAACTGGTCAGTCCTAGAGGAGATCAACCCTGACTGCTCTTTAGAAGGCCAGATCCTGAAGTTGAAACTCAAGTCCTTTGGCCACCTAATGAGAAGGAAGGACTCAGTGGAGAAGAGCCTAATGCTGGGAAAGATGGAGGGCAAGAGAAGAAGGGGACGACAGAGAATGAGGTGGCTGGATGGAGTCACTGAAGCAGCAGGCATGAGCTTCAATGGACTCCAGAAGATGGTAGAGGACAGGAAGGCCTGGAGGAACGTGGTCCATGGGGTCGCGATGGGTCGGACACGACTTCGCAACTAACAACAACACTGACAGAATCTTGTTGGTCTCAAAATACACATCTCCTGCCGTCTCCCTGACAGGCTGAGAATGTCAACGCGGCTAACATTGGATGTTTTGCATTAACAAGAGATGAAAATGTAGCCATCTTTTTCCCCTTTCGCTTTTAGAGTTAGATGATGCTGGGAGGGGGGGGGGGGAATGTGAACGAGAGTCTAGCTAGACATAACAACACTAAACTTAGCG